CGGCGCCCCCGGGAGAAGCCCCAGGGAGCCGGTTCCGGGCGCCGGGACCCCTTTCCTTCTCCCCCTTCTCCCAAAGGCCACGCACCCGGAGGGTCTCCCCGCCGAGTCCGAAGTCCGCCCTCAGCAGGGCGCGGGGAGGCCGATGGGACCGACGCTGAGCCGGGAGGACGAGGCCGCGCTTCCCCAGGCGCGAGGTCAGGCCCGAGGCGGGAACCCTCAAGGGGCTCCCCGGGGCCCGCAGCCCCAGGGCNGCCCCTGGGGGACCCGGGGAGGCGGTGGGAGGCGGGGGCCGTGGGCTCGCGAGCGCGGTCCGGCCCCAGGAAAAGTCCAGGCAGCTTTCCGCGGAGCCGAGCAGCCGATCAATACGGGCTCCGGCGCCGAGCTGTTGCTCACGCCGCGGGGCCTTGTCTGGATGAAGGGAAGGGGGTGTGAGCGCACAGCGTCTCAGCGCAGCTCTGCTCCTGGCACCCCCTCTGTGATGCCTCGTTATTTATGTAGCGCGGGTAACGAGGTCATTCAGGACGAGGAAGCGCCTTCCTCAGAACACGCTGGGCACCTGGAGGCAGGCAGCGGGCTGTGTGAGATCAGGGCGGAGGCCCAAAGAGGTTCCCTACCTTTGCCTCCCCCTGAGGGAGAACAGTGGCGGGCCCAGCGTGGCACAGCCGACCATCTGTTCTCGATGCTGGGGAATCCCCGCCCTTAACCTGCCGCCATCTGCTCCTCACCTCCTCACACATTCCTAAACCACTTGTCCTGCCATCCGGGTTTGCCAGCCGCCATCTTGGCTTGGCCGCCATCTTGGTTTTGCCCCCGCCGCCATCTTGGCTTGGCCGCCATCTTGGTTTTGCCCCGGCCGCCATCTTGGCTTGGCCGCCATCTTGGTTTGCCCGCCATCTTGGTTGGCCTGGTTGCCTGTGGTAAGTTGGCGCTGGATCGTTCACCTTGTCACTGCCCTGGAGTTCTAACAGAGCTGAGTCTCTCTCAGTTCGCTCTCTGGCTTCCTCCTTCCACAAAGAAGAAGACACGGACTCTGGCTCAGCCACCCCATTTCAAGCCCTGGCTCCGACCACACACAGCCTCCGCCTGCCCCGGCCTGGCTGCGCCTGGTTACCCTCCAGCGTCCCCCTCTTGGGTAAGATGCCTGTGGTTTTAATACTTTTCGGAGCTGTCCTCACAGCCACATGCCCCATTTGAAAGAGGCGAGCGTCTGTGTGAGCGCCCCTGCCTGGCCAGGTCGCATGGAGGCCTCTGGCGATGCCGCACGCGGGATAACGCGGAGACAGCAGGCTGTTCATCGGCGTCTGGTTGAAGGTGAGTCACGGCGCTGGGCGAGGTCAAGGTTCAAGGTTGGCGGCTCGCCCCCGCTGTGCCTTTAGCCGGCGTCTCTGGGAGTCCGACCGGGGCTGACCCGCCACCGAGCCCTCCTTCCAGCGCCGCCTGCTGGGGTGCGGCCGTCCGGAAGGCGGCAGGGTGTGAGGACCCCGGCGTGCCCGCCATCGCTGTGCCGCAGGGAGGGGCGAGGCCAGAGGCCGGG